GTTGACTGTGCCACATCCATATGAGAAAATGCTGGCTGCTACTGCATAAACTCCACTTTTCTGACTCTGCCTTGAATGGAAGGAGTTTCTGTAAGGTAAAATACATTAAGCAGCAAAATAAGAAATAAAAGTTAAAGGTCATAAATAAAACTTGGGTGTCTCTGCTACCCGATTCATCAAGGAAACAAAGACTCCAGCACAGTCCAAGCCCTGGTGAAATTGTAGGTCTGTCTGGTGCTTTCTAATAGTTTCAAAATATTCCAGATTTATAAAAGTAAGATACTATTTGTGAATATCTGAAAACACATCGCATAGCCCAGACTGAGAGAATTAAAGAGGAGGGAGGAAATGATGGCACCAAGGTCAACACAAAAATTAGAATATAAAAGACAGAGCTACATAGAAACTTATATTACTAAGTCACTAAAGATATCCGGAAGGTTGAATAAAAGAGAAAAATTTACTTTTCCCCCATGTTTTAGGTAGTGCACTTGTACTGTTGTTGCCATAAAGCTCGTGTAATGTCCCTGGGCACCCTGATGTCCCCCACGGGTGTCACACCAGCGCCCAGCCCTGGTTTCAGGAGCCCAGGGTATCACAGAGCTGCTGCAGTAAGTGCTGAAAAAAAAATTTCTCCCATCTTTTCCATGGCTTACAGAAGTCCCACCCTGTCCTCAGCCAGGCAGGACAGACAGGAGGACTACGGCCTCGTTACTCCCAGCGGGACCTCCGCAGCCCTCCCTGAAGGCAGCGGGCAGGAGAAAGCCTAAGGGCTTAATGCAGTGCATCTGCCGCCGGAGACACGGGAGCAATCTGCTTCTGGAGACAAGAAGGACCATGGGGTAGGGTGGGGGGCTTGGGGTTTTTGTTTGGTTTTTTGTTTTGGGTGGTGGGGTTTTTTTTTTTGTTTGGTTTTTTTTGTTTTTTGTTGGTTTTTTTTTAATGCAGAGAAAGAAAACCAGCAAGCGAACCAGGGTGCAGGTTGCCCTTCTTTCACTGAGCTGCTGTCGGGACAATACGGTAACACCCTGCTGCTCCCTGCAGTCAAGCTGACACAGTTCCAATCTGCCCTGAATCACTTTTGAACATCTAAATGAAACTTTGTGTTGAATATAAATGGGAAATACCACTTGCTTAGCTCAAGTAAGGTATTTTTATTCAAACTCGGGGGTGGGGGTTGCTATGGGAAAAACGCTCTCAGGACAACGTGAACAGATAAGGTGGTATCCTGCAAACTGAGGTTCTGCAGAACTATCTCCAGGCTTCGGGGAATGCAAATGACTAATTAGCTTCGAATAAAAGAGAGTGAATCTAACTGGGGTAAGAGAAGTGGCACAGACCTTCCCCATTTCTCGTAAATAAGCAAACAGATACGGTCGGGAAGCTTACTGGTGCCAAGAGAACCCCCCAGAAGGGCAGAAAGCACAACCATGGAGGCACCAGCACCAGTACTTTTTCCATTTTTCTCCAGTTAAATACGCCTCGGCATACTGTAGCTCACATCGGCAGTTGTGCAGAATACAAAATACACACCGTGTTCAGCACCGCCAAGTCAACATTGCTTTTGGTGTACGAGCAATTGCATTTCCTTATTTTGTGTGCTTTTATCTGTAGAAACCTCGTGCCATGTTCTTTTTCACAGTCAATACCTTAAAGCTTACGCTAACCAGCTGAGCAGTCTCCGTGATACCAAACCTTCTATGGTATTTTCACAAGACATAAATTGTAATAAGACCCTGAACTTACATGGGACAATCTTTGTACAATCTTGCTTTTTTAAAAAAAAAAAAAAAAGCAACCACAAAATGACATTTGCTTCTGCTTCGTAGTTGCAATCAGTATCTAGTACACATACTTGTTAAATTTCTTGAAATGCAGTTGACTGAATGAGAATACCATGCAAAGTGAATTGCTTTCCCTTCAGGCATTAATTATCAGGGTACCTCAACTGTTCTCCTCCGCTCTTTACATTCTCTGACATTTCATCTCTTCCTTGATTGGGAGCAACCAGCCTATAAATAGATTTTTTTGGCAGTAATTGGGAATAAAACTGACTAGCATGGATTGTAATCATTTGGAAAATTTGTCCTCCAACTGAGAAATTGTACAGTTTTTGGATGCCTGGTATACCCCCTTGCTGCCGCTAAACGTTATTTTGCATTTAATGAGCCTTTGTAGGTTTAAGGTAAGGAAAACAAAATAATATTAAAAAGCTTCATAACGGAGCAGCAAGACTTTGGACAAGACATGCTGGTTTAGTGGTCCAGTATTCTGGAGCCCACATGACTGCTGGAGAAATGAACCAAGTGCTAAGAGAGCATGACCGGGACACGTGTGTGGCGCAAGCATTTTCACTCGGGATGGAGTCAGGAGTGGGGTCCTGCGACCAGCAAGGGTGGCGAGGAGGAGGAGGAGGAGGATGCAGAGCTCACCCTCTCGCACAGCCATCACGAGCAGAGGCGGTGGGCAGGAGCTGCGAAGACTGCGCGCGAGGCAGGGGCAGAGATGAGCTGTAGGCACCGCGTGCTGGGGTATCCCCCACGACCCCAACTGGCAGAAGGGCTCTTCAAGGTGTAAAAAAAATAGAAGGGGTTGTAATAGTCAGCTGTAAGATAAAAGTGCATTACCTGAGTATCTAAGGAGACATTGCTGAAGTTAGCAATGCAGCACTTCCGAACACAAGGTCAAGTCTTCCCTCTGGTGTGTCAGTGAAGTCCAAGAACAACTTCACACCTCCCCAGCTCGGGTTCCCATCCACATTCCCATTCACCCAAGTTCAGCTTGGCACACACACCAATTCGTTTTAGGAGATATCTTTTTGTAAGAATCTTATTTCATATACAAAATTCATTTAAATGATGATAACCAAAGTATACAATAGTTATTTTAAAGCCCAAATAAATGAAGTTTTAATTTAAATACATTTTTTTTTATAAAAAGGGAACTTTGATATAGCAGAATATGCAACCAATATGCTTAATATTGCAGTTTCTAATTTATTGGGAAGAAAAAGCCAGTTACTGAGACGTGAAGCATAGTCCAATCAAATAAAACAATTTGCATTCACACCCCTAGCAGCAGCATCCACGGATCACGGATCACTTGGTGCTCCAATCACTGAACTAGTTTCTTGCAGAACACTGCAAGACACTCAGGGGTTAGCAGCGCATTCTGCAAAGGGACAGAGCCCGGGGAAGCCAAAGCACCTCCCACAGCAGGGTATCAGGGCTGAAAGTCATCCAGAAACCAGCCTGGGTAATTTTACCGGATGGGTCCCAGACACATCAGACCCACCCAGCAAACTGACGCTGATCTGTGCATGCACCGTAGCCTCTCCCTTATGTTTTTTCTGATTTTTTAAGGCAGCAGCCTCACACGGCCCAGTCTGCTTTCAGAACACCTCTCCTCGCAAACACGTAGCTATGAACTTCAAGGCGGGAGCCTGTAAGACCACAGATCCGTTTCTTCTGGAACAGGCTGCAAAGCTCAGCGCCAGACGACGCTGGGATGATCACAGAGCTCCGGGAGGGTGCTCTTCCCTCACGGTTTTTTGGTTTTTTTCCCCACGAATGACATACAGCAAAGGAAAAGATGAGTCGGAAAAAGAAGTTAAAGTGAACAGTGAGCATATGTAGGAGAAAACCAGAAAAAGAATAGGAGAGGCAGGTAAAAGAACTCATTCAGACTCAGGCAGCTCAAAAGAGACCCCAGACAGCTGGTGTGACCTGGTGATGGAGCAGAGCCAAGGAAGAGAGGGGAAGGCAAGAGCCACGTTTACTGACCAGGCCCTTCTGCACAAACACGTTGGGAATTCTCTGCCAGCTCAGCTGAGATCAGAGGGAGCGGAGAAGCGCCCCAGCTGAGGCAGCGAAGCCTTCGTTAGGAGCAGAGGCTTCATTTCCATTTCAGCATTTGTCTTCCTAAAAAGCTGCAGGAACAAGGGTCCTGGTAAGAGCAGTTATTCGCCAACATTCTGTAAAAGAAGTTTTTCAGCTTCTAGGTAATTGCTCAGATTCCTTTTTCAAAGCCAATTCAAGATCCCAGGTTTCAAAAATCACTGGAAAGGTGCCGGCGAGTCACCGGAACACTTTTGCCTGAAGTAACGCAATCTCTCTCATAAAAACCTAGCAGAAGCATGACCTACCACAAAGAAAACGAGCTTCCAGCGGCAAGGCAAATTCTTTCTGAGCCTAAGCAAGCACGTCTTGTTCATACAAGTCAATCACTACGAGCGTATTTCTGAAAGTCCCACTACATTTTGCATTTTAGGGTCCACGGTATTATTGCCTTGGGACTCGAACAGGATTATCTCCCTTTCAAGCCCCATTTAAAGATGAGTGGTGATTAATCCTGGAGAAAACGGTTTTTTTATGAAACTGTTTTTTTAAAAAAGATAACTACAACAGCAAAATCTATTAGGACTTCAATAATTCACCTCCTCCTTCATTCCCCATCTGTACCAGAGGTATTCTGCACATTGCTCTTCATGAAAGAAAAGGATTTATAGATATTAATTTCTTAGTCTAGTGAAGCAATAATCCAAGCAGGAAAAAAGTGCAAATCCCAGCATATGTTGGCCTCAATTTTTCCAGACATTTTAAAGTCAGAAATAACACCGCGGAATTCATCCAGACCTATCCCAGCAGAAGATCATCTGCCGAAGAAAACCAGCCCTTTGGAACTGGGGGCTCTTACAAATATTCATAAATACTGAATATTACATACCACTCCTGAAAAGGCTTAAAATCCACTGTGGGATTATAGTAAGAGCTGGAAAAACAATAGGAGACCTTGACACAACCAAACCACTGCTCAGGTGGATACGAAGCCCCTCCTGACAAGCCGTGGCTGCATCGAGGTGGGACCCCAACGCCTGGCACCGAGCTGTCATTGGGGGCTGCCCCACAACGGGGCTCTGACCCGACCTGCCAAAAATCTTTCCCCAAGCCATAGCCAAGAGGAGAAGCAATGAAAAACAGAGAAAGCGAGGGGAAAGCAGGGCAATCCCCGCAGCTGTTAATGGCAGAAGCTCTTCCCGGCATGAATCCAAGCTTTACACCGAAGCTGGGGCTGGGGAACGGCTCTGGGCTGAGCAGCCCCTGCCCTCAGTGACACGTGGAGCAGGCAGAGCCTACCCACATTTCTGTATCCTTAACAAGTTTCAGGCTATCGCTTGATTTTAGTCCCTGAACCCTCTGCAATGAGCCACTGCCTGACTGGCCGCATCCCAAACCCCCAGGACGCAGGCTCTGCCAGCACGCCGTGACACACGCGGCCGCGCACAGGGACCGGGGTTTTCGGGAGCCAGCCGGCGCCGCTGCCCTGCCCACCCGGAGGGAGCGCAGCCCCGTCAGCTCGCAAACCTGAAGCACACCCGTGCGTTTGTGTCGCCGCGTGAAGCCCGGTCCTTTAATTAACCTGCAGCAAGAGGGAAATCTTCCCGGGTCTCACCTGTTGTGCAAGGAAAACAAAGGTTTTACCTTTCATAACCTATGGCAACAGCTGCAACAACGCGTACTTTGCAGCCGACAGCATGGGAAAGGGAAAAATAAAATCAAAATCCTCAGGCATCTAAGATTTCACGTGTTTGTTCTGAAGATACAGCCTAGCCTCGTCTCTAGAAGACCCAATACATACACCCACCTTCCGATTATTACAACGTACAGCTTCACTTCTGTGTCAGATTCCTGCAACATTTAGTACCCAAATTAATAAAAAATTCTGACTAGTCATCAGTTCCATGGAGCCAAAGTGAGATGTGGTATTTCTTGTCGCCCTGCAGAATATACATTTTGCCCCTCAAAATATTCCTAACCACATTGTTTTGAATAATTAGTTCACTGACATTCCTGTGCTAGAGAAAAAATATCATTAGCAATTTAGAGAAGTTGCATGAAGAGTAATAGTTCAGAAGAGCCCAGTATGAGATGAAATAAGCCTACACCTTCATGAAACTCATTAAAAGGTAGCTATAATGATATGCCCCAGAATTATCATTCAGATAGGCTGAGCAGGAACCCTGCCAGCTGTCAAGCCACCCTTATCTCAAATACTTAATACTATAGCACGGTATAAGACTTGTGCTTTCGTTTTGGAGAGATGCCAGCAAGTCTGCTGGGACTACTGTTTTTTGAGTCTGCTGGAATTCAGAATAAGGGGGGAAATCAAATCCCAAAATGCCTACAGAAAAGGAACGCTTTCATTTCCTTTACCAGAGGTACCTTTGTGCTTTCTCTCTCATGCTGCTTTCCAGCACCATCTGCAGACCCGTAGCTTTGTCCTTAAATCACTCTTAAAGACTCGGCTTGAGAATACCGTCCTCGGGGACTACGCCAGCTGGGGTCCTGCAAGCTCTGCTCCACATTCACCACCACCTGCTCTACAGGGTGGTTTTTTTGCCCACCTTCCATCTCCCCGGGTGAGCACGTGTCCCACCTCCTTTCAACGTCACAGGACAAATATATCCACCCCAGCTTTCTGTCCCCATGCTCCAAGTCTGTAAATTAGCAAGGGCTGATGCCTTCTCTCTCCTTCAGCCTCCAAATTCTTTTGTCTTTCAGATCTTTCCACATTATCTTACACCTCAGAGACATGACCTTGCACCATGATGCTATCATTTACTTCATCTGTTTGCTTCCATCACTCTATCTGCATATCCTTATCATATTATTTACTATTCCACACAGAGTTTTGCAGCCAAGAAAGGTATGAATTAAGTAACAGAGGTGAAAGAGCGTTATGATACGAGGCACCTCATCCTCAGTTGTTCATATGAGCGATACAAATGACAAGGGGAAGTGGTCCGTGGCAGCCTAATTAATTTCCTGCTACCTTTCAACCAATTACCAGGGGTTTGAGGCTTTTTTTAAAGCTTAATAATAGGAAGCAATATTATTGTAGATTTACCGTAGGGAAAAAAATAAACTTCACTAAGTGAAGAACTTAACATTATACTCGCTTTACACACAACTTCAGCTACCTGAAAGAGCATTGATTAAATGGACTCACCACTTCCAAATTACATTTCTTTTCAAAATATTTAAATATAAAAACAAAGGAGGCCTGCACAACATGTAGCAGTCTATATGTGTACCTAAACAGGTTTCATAATGAAAAATATTGAAGTAGCACTCCTGATTCAAGATGAGGAATCCAGAAAACAGCTACTGCCTTATGGCCTCTTTCCAAAATAGGAAGGTAACAACTCATCTTGTTTAGGAGAACAAGGATGGTATCAGTCAGAAAATATTCAAGTTTATTTTTAATCCTGACGATAGGAAATGTGAAAGGACTGGTGAAAACAAGCTCTAGCAATCATGTATTTTTACACGAGTTTTGCACCACGCGGTAACGTTACTTGGCTGTGGTTTACTATCGAACCGACAGCCACCTCCTGAGGATCTCTGCTCATATTATGACGATTTATATTCTTCACGTTGGTCTGATTATCTCTAATCCAAAACAGAGACAAGCGTTTTTGATCTGATCCGATTGCTGCATCGCTCTGTTCTTAGTTTACAGTGACAACAAACGAACTCTGAGGATCCTTCTCTTAACTTGGTTTTGTGTGT